TTCTAACAGACAGGCGTGAGCGTTTTCGTATTGGAGACTCTAAATGAGAGTGGAGAATGGTTTCCAGTGGGTTTCCGCAGGGAATTGTTTTGGGTCCCATTCTGTTTCTGGTATACGTGAACGACTGCCTTGATTTCCTCGGCTGTAAGATAGTCATGTTTGCAGGTGAGCTGAAGATTTATAACTCACTCAAAGTCTCGGAGGATGGCCAGAACTTACAAAATGACTTGGATTGCTTGCAGAAGTTGTGCGCTTAGTGGCTCCTGCTGCTCAATTTTAACAAAAGCCAAGTCATCCGCCTGCAATCTAGTTGGGGAAAGAAGATATCATTTGAGTATGACCACTGATTCGGGGGTCACCAACTCGGGCAAGTGAACGAAATAGGCGATCTAGGGGTAGGTAAGATGCCCACATTCAAACCTTCAACTCGTTGTGTCAAAGCTGAAAAGAAGGCTATGGGAATTGCAGGAGCGATCAGAAGAACCTTGCTCTAGTTTTGTGCAGAGCTTTTTGGGCGAGAGTTTGGAATATTGGTTCAGCCGATATCAGAATATTGAGTCCAGGTGCGATGCACCTGGATGAAGAAAGATTGCGCAGCGCTGGAGAAAGTTCAAAGAAGGGTGAACAAACTAGTCAGCGGCTTAGGAGGTCTACCATATGAAGGTTGAGTAGAAAGGCTCAAGCCTTTTCCTCTACAGAGGCGGCATGATCATGGTATTCAAATTCGTCAAGGCAGTAGACTGTGCACTTCGTATGGTTGATTCCTTTGTATTAGCAGAAACAACAACGGGACACTGAAGACCGGAACAAAATTCCTTAGTTGATCTCACTGAAGACGTTGACGCATTTAAAAAATATTCTTGATCATTCTTTATTTGCTGGTCATACATTTGGTAGACAAGAGGAATTTATGTAATACATATATATGTGGCCTTGAAACATATGCATGATTTGACAGAATCTATCTGTAAATAGCGTTTTCAAAGGCTTCACCTGGTTCCCTTATACATAGTGAATTATACTGACAGGACGGTACGGGGATATCGGTAGTTTTGACAGTCGTCCTGCTGTAGATTTGTGAGGCTGGAGATACTGTAACAGTGGCTCCAAAAGCTAACAACGAAAGTGTGCCCGGGCGTTGAGTAGATCGAAACTTCGAACGTACTATTTCCCACTGCAGATGGGAAATTCAGGCCGCAGAGTATTTTAACAAAGCAGAATTGCTAAATTCGTTTTTCGCCAAGTTCTTTACCATTGAAACTAGCTTCACTCCCGCAACCTTTCTGCTCTGTGATTCAACTCTCAATGCCATTGATATCTCACCTGCTGGTATCCAAAAAGAAATAATTCGTCTTAAATGACGAGGCCCTCCGGGCCTAAAATATAAAATTTATTTATTTATTTATTCACATTCGTTTGGATCTGATTACATTCCAAACTCACTTATTAAACAGTGTAGGCCCTTAGCCAACCTCTGTTCGTTTAAATTCACTAGCGAATATTATTATTCGTTTTAACGCCAGCCACTCGAAAATACAGTTTCGATTTATT